ATTTCCTGACATTTGCCTTTTCGCAGGTGCATTGGACAGTCTAGTGTTTGGGGAATTTAGGCAGCATCGCGTCTCTAAAGACCTCTGGGCAAGGATCTCGTATGTAGGTTCACTGAGAAAATAGAGCTTAGGGGCTCCTTTAAGATGCGAGAGATGTTCGTACTCGTTTCATCAGTAGGGAGGACTATGGATGACATTAAAATATCCGCATTTCTGGCGTATGTTTGTTTTATTATTCCGACGAAGTGTCGGAACTAACGCGCAATCTGAAGGATGTGAATCAAGAGCTCGTGGACGGGCGGAAAGGGGGATTCCGTGGTTATTGGTTAATGACGGCTGGATTGGCTAATTCGGCTGGCAAACTAAACCTTGACCCCAGCCCTACCTCAGATGTTTGACTTAACCCTAAGCGTAGCCCTCTATCTAACTCTAATCTAAGCCCTAAATTCTAGTCCTAACTGCAAAGTCGGACCGCCACTCCTAAGTGCTAGTTTTAGCTCTAAATGCCTTATCGCGGTAAGCCCTAAAATAACGTGCCTACTCAGGCCGACTAAGTAGGTGTGTTTTCGCAACAAGAGCACTTACTTGCACACTGGACCCTCGCCGACCTCTGTTAGTGTGATGTAAGAGTTTTCAAATACAGTAAAGGCAAGCGGAAGAGGAACGCTGATTTCCATTTATGGTTGTAATGCTACCGTCAGTGGGCCACATACCTATCCCAACCCGGGAGAATCTGTTGATCGTGTTCGGGTGAAGTTGGCGTTTCGGCCGGACGTTTTGCCGCGTGAGTCATGTCCTCATTCATTTTCGGCTACCACGGAGAAATGTAAGTCCCTTAGAATGCGCTTTCCCTGATACGGTTTGTTTGCCTTCGAGTCCCGGTATTGAACACCCACAGGCCTTCACGTCCGCCCCTTTCGTGGGATATCTCCCTCGATGAAGTCCAGTCAACCCTTACATGGCCACCTCTATGGTGTATATTACTTTCCCATTACAAGTCTGGCACGTCGACGCACTCATTTTTCAACGTTTTTAATAAATCTGTTCCGCTCTACATCTTCAAGAATATAGAAATGACTTCCACGTGATGCATCCTGATGGAGAATGACTTGCTCACCGTTGGTCTCCTTCTTCCAACCCCAACCAGGTTTCAAGAACGAGGTCAATGCACAATGAATGAATATGAGTATGAAACCAACAAGCCTGTGTTTACAGCGTCAAAATAGCCAAGGACAAAGACGGGAGGTTGTAGAAAAACGGCATGTTAGGCTCATGTTATGCATGTTTAACTCACTTGTGGCACTCTGTTTCCTGCACCTTCGCCCCCTTCGGGAAGGAAAGAATGCCGTCCGCTTCTTCGAAAGCGTGACATGTGAACTTTTGTGGTATCCGCTCAGCAGGTCAGTTTGTGGCAAAACCGAAATTTTGCTTCTTAGACGGAAGAGTTGACCTAAGCAGGCATCTGCGATGGTTTTTATGTGTGCTCCGGCTTTTCAGCATTCTACAGTTTGTGCAGCGGCAAATAAACGAAAATACGAACGAACATTTCGATTTTAGGCAAGTCATACAATCGGCGTACATTTCGATTTTGTTTTCCGTTTTGTCCAACTATATCAAATTCCATTTTGTAAATTTTGCGGGGTGAACTGCGGTTGGGCGCTCTCTCGCTGACCTGCGGACTGTTTGAGGAGTTCGGCCATAAATTTTGCGTGATTCAAGTTTCTGTGAGACATTAAACCAGCGTTCTAAACACTAATTCGCCTTCCTCTCCATCCTACCATTTCTAGAAAGTCACTCTAATTGTCACCGTTGTCGACTACGACCGGATCGGCACGTCTGAGGCTATTGGTCGTGTTGTTTTGGGCTGTAATGCCCAGGGCGCTGGCCTCCGTCATTGGTCGGACATGTTAGCCAATCCGCGACGGCCGATCGCGCAGTGGCACACACTGCAAGAGATGCCGGAAAAGGGCTAACTGGACGCCGCACACTCAAGCCCTCCGCCGCCACCATTGCACCATCTACCGTGGGGTCCATGCGATCTCGGCAGAGCTGCCATCAAATGAATTATCTCTCTGAATGTCAAGTCGAACTTTCCTTTACTGATTATCTTCTCCTCTCCCAACCCCTCACGTTTCAAGCTGTAAGTGGGGGTCCCCAACAGCATTTCAATTGCGTTCGCCGTGATGTATCCGCCCCGTGTCGATTTTGCTTTCCTAGCATCTGTCCAGCGGCCCTTCCCAGTCAACTGGAAGGTCTGATCTCTATGCTAATACTGCTATTCGTGGAGTCCAGGTGTTACCCAATGTTGGACTAAATGTAAAAGTTTTTAAAATACGTGAGCATGTCATGTATGCTCACGTACCCAATCATGCATCCAAGGAATTGTCTCTCCCACTCATCTCTCACTATCGCAGTCACTGTCTAGAACTCGCACTCCCCCTGTTTTCTGCTGGTCAAAACGTGCCGTGCGTTTTATCTTGGACTTGTTCTATCTCCCCTTTGGCCTAAAGTAGGCATGTGTGCTCGTGCGCAAGTGCCCAGACTGTTGTCGCGCCCTAGTCCCCACCTCCCCCCCCCCTAATTCTCGCCGTAACCCGCTGCTCGCACCACTTTCTGAGATCCCCTCCCTTCCTTCAGTCCATTGACCTGCTTAACACTAGAGTTGCATAAGTACATATTACATAGAATTATCGGAGAAACAATCATTAGAACCAGCCTCCCCTGGTCTCCCTTACTTATATTGGCACTCAATCAAGCACGCCGAAGGGGCAACTTGCCTTCTCCTTCTCTCTGTCCTTTGTCGTTTGACACTCTTGTATTAAAGTCGGTTTGATTGTAATTACTTCATGGCCTTTCTGCTACTGACCTGGGTTGTTGCCGTGACAAACAGTTGTCAGCAAACCACTGTCTGTACTCGATGGGCAGCAGGCAGCATACGTCGCACTAACATAAAGTCTAAAAGGATATGCGACTGGTATGAATAATTCTTTGGTGGTAGGGGGCGCCCACCGATGGTTCTTACGGAACTCACTCGTTCTGTTGTACCTTATGGGCTATCTCTCTCTCAAGCCCAACCAGCAGCCGCACAGCGGCGCATGATATAGGCAGTATGTTATTTCCGACAAAGACAAGGGAGACTGGAATGGCCATTTCTGGATTATTAGCCGTCGTCAGCCAGTCATGCCCAACCCGAAGCGTGGAACACCCGAGGCTCGAATTCGTGACCTGTTAGTTAGAAATCCACGCCTCTAACCGCTGGGGCACGAGACCGTTGCCCTGTCGGTTTTAGATCGGGAATTCTTTGCTGAATCTATTACAAGCATGCACGAACGGACAGCCCGTAACCTCGCACAGAACACCATAAATTGGAACCAGGAACTCTGGGCGCCTCCATCCGAGGACGTTTAATTTAAGCACCGTCGCGGAAACCCCAAAGCGCGACAGGTCTGATCTGTACTAATCGGAGTTTGGGGCATACTGCCAGGTAATGAATCCAGATTGGAAATGCGTAATAGAGGGCAGGACACACTGCTCGCAGAGCCAGCCCTCCTAGCGCTGGACGGTTGTTTTTCAGTCTTCCTGTGGAGGAATTTTTGTAAGAGAAATTGACGCGCACTAATAATGCGGAACTAATCCTAGCTGTACCTGGCGGGTCGCAGGGTTCAACGATTTCGCTAACTCCGCTGCTCCACCTAAAAATCCCGTTCCCTAAAGTTGGTGGCAAATCCCCCCAGACAGAGTCGCTCTCAGAGCGCCAGCTGGCGTATTTCTTGCAAACCTAAGGCCACTCGACTGCAGTTTTTCACCTTTAGTCGGGAACGCGGCATCTGGAACTGTTGTTAGCTAGCGCGCCTGAATCCCTGTCAACGGATCCCAGAGGGGACTGGGTCGGTTGACCCATGCCTAATTGGCGAAACTCTTGACCCAAATGCTTAATAACTGACCCAGATTCAGACCGCAGGCTCCCCTAACCTGGGACTGAGGTACTAGAAGGCGATGGCACGCAGAACAAGTGCCAACCCCCGCCTGGCGATAACATCGTCCGCTCTGGCCAGTACGGCCATCCCCGCAGGAACGGGGTCCAAACCGGCAGATGGCGGGATTGACGCAGCATGCACAAGTCCCCTCCAAACTCATGGACGCACATCCTGACAGAGCTGCGCACAAACCCGGCACCCCGCACTCCTTCGCTTCCGACTATAGAATAGTCGGACCCTAGTAGCGTTGCCGACTGGCATGTTGACAGTTAGCGCGTCATCTAGGGCATCGTCCGCCTGCCAAGTCGACCCCTCCTTCCACTATTTTACGGCCTGGCCCGAGTTCTCCGTCCATTTGTGTAAAGCGCTCGCGTTCCGCACTTGCCGAACATCGGACAGCGCAGAAACGCAACGCAATTGTCTTACAATAGTGCTCATGCCGGATCGTGAAAGCCCATCAGGACAACGTGCAGGAGTACACCCACATCCGCATGGTAGTACTTCCTCAGAGTTCTTGTTTTGGAACGCATTGGAAACGGATACAGGTATGGAGACAGACATGTGTCCTAGTACACGGGCGACTTGGACTGAACAGAAGCTCGGTCACAGCCTGACCACGAAAGAGTGAACAGATTACGCATCAGGTTAGCTAACCGCCCACACGACCTCCCACCGAAGAGGACAGGGCGCTTGAATTCGCAGCATCACACTTCTGTTCAAGAGGGAGGCATTGACCACATACTGAGCGAATGGGCCTGTAGGTAAGGAAGCAGAGACTTGTACCGTGCACAAATACATTATTCAAGTATAAACATTCCGATCGGAACATAACAGATAAAATGTATGTTGTGTTGGTAGTAAATTGCACAGAAAGACGGGGACTTGTGGGAGCCGGTATACAAATGCTCATACAGCAGACAGGTCCCTCTGAATTCAGAAAATTTTAATCGTAAATGTCAGCTCAGAAATCAGCGATCCAGTACGCGTTGAAGAAAACTGTGATCGCAAGTCTTCAGGCTCCACTTATCGGCGAGGACGACCGCGGGAATTGCCAGCACGTGGGAGGGAGGCATCGGAATAGACTGCCTGTTTTCTTATTTCCTCTTGTGCCCGAATAAGCGCGCGCGCCTGAGCGAGATACTCTTGGTTCCGCCGAGATTGCGCAATCTGAGCTCGCCGGGACAGTTTATAGTAGTAATCAGAATGTTGACCGGCGCTTCGGTTGGTGCCGCGACGAGACTGGCCACTAGGAGTGCCGTTAAAGCCTACACAAAAATGAAATCTTGGTTAGCAATGGGCGACTACGTAGACTATTGGGATGAACCAGGAGATATAAAAAAATACACTTACGGAGATTTTGTGGCCGAGTTTGACGGCGATATGCTGACTGAGGAGTCGTTCCATTGCCTCTACCACCAAACTGTCTCCGAATGCCGGACTGCTGGCGACTATTCTGTCGAGTTTGAAACCGTCCGCCTCTTTGACTGCTTGGAAACGTTATGATAGGGTTTCGAAGTGGCCGTACGGTGTTGGCACTTGAATTCCCTTGTCGTCGAATGCGGCCAGGGTTGATGTGAGTGGCACGTAGATCAGGAGCTGAAGACGTTGTCCAAAGGTAAACGAGTGCAAACGACTTTCATACAACATGTGCGACTGATGGAGTGACAGTGGTACGCGGCACTGAAGGTCACCACCATCACAGGCGCAAACGTAAGACCATTAAAGCAGTCGGAGGCGTTTTGAGTGGAAAAAATTGAGGCGTAAAATAACTCGTGACGATTGTTCCCCTCCATCCACATGGGCCAATATAGACAGCTGGTCGGTTACGCCTTCTCAACGGACCTCCCACCAGCAGTAGACTTGGCATAGGGTTACATTTGGGAACATAACGGCCAAACAATGTGATCAGGCCTGTGTCCGGCGATTGTGGCACAGACGCGTTAACCGCGGTCGGAAACAGGGGCAGAGCCTGCAGAAAGCTCAGAAAACGCTAGGCACATTATGTCTATCAGAAATGGATCCATCTCGAGACACTGCACTATGATTAGGAGCCGCGATCCTCTGAAGAATGAAAACACCATCCAAAATAATTAGTAAATAGCAAAAAAATACCGAAGTTCATGTACACAGGGGGAAAGAAAGCCTGTCTTTGAACTACTGTGAACCGAACTGTGAATACGAACGCGCCCAGCAAGGCGGCCCCTGAGGTAAAACTGCGTAGCAGGCATAATGGTGATCGACGATGTAAAACGCCTGTCGTCCTTACATTGCTGGTATTGGAAGTGTATTTAGGGATAATCCCGTTTTTATGATAATCAACCTTATCCTATGGATCCGGAGGAACGCAAACAAAGAAATCTCTATCGAAGACTAATCGACTGCTACGCTTCTAGCAATCCATTTAAGAACGGTGAAAGGTGATCCATCGTCAGCATATTCAGCACTAGAATGCAGAGAACTTCCGGACTACGAGCGTCAGTAGGCGAACAGACTTAAAAATCAAAGGTTTTACGTAATCACCAGCGGATGGGAGGCGTCTCTGGGTCGGCTTCGTAGAAAGGAGAGCAGCGGCGCTTGCAGCAATCTTGGCGGCAGCTGCTGCTGTACGCTGTGCCTTCCGAAAGATGGCGAGGGCTGTGGCAGACTGGCGAGACTTCATCGTGACTGCTAGATTCGGCCTGAGAGCGGATCCCTTCCGAAGTGGCGACTTCAGAGCCGACACACGACCGCGGCGTCCACGCATCGATGACTTTCCTGCGACGTTGACAGCAGTTTGCTTGTTCTTTTTGTTCGATTTGATTATATCATCTGGGAGAAATCGAAATCGGTATTGAAAATGGTCGACGCACATAGCCAATAAAAACCGCAAAAATTAGACAGACAACGTCGGCAGGGCATAAGTCTATAGTAATGTCACTTAAAAGGTATCTAAAAAGCCAGAGAAAGGTTTGGAATTAGAGCTCAGACAACAGAGGGACGATAGACAGGGGAGGAAGTCCACTTGTGACTCGACTCATTCGATCGTTTATGGCCACAAACGTTTCGAAAGTTGATGCGGCACAGGAGTTAAGATAGTACACAAACTATAAAGACCAATTTAAAAAGCATACTTAGGAATAAAAGTGTGGACGTTAGGGTGCGGTAACGTAGAATCGAATACTTAGTTTATCACATCATCTCCGAGTCATAACGCGGACAGCAGGACACTTCGGGAACACGACCAATGCGTTAGACACATTTGGCAGCTATATATATACAAAGACATATAACTCCCGCAGCGAGCCCCTGTCGCTTAGATACGGAATCGCTACTAGAGATGTAACATCCGCACGCGACGATAAGTCAACGCAATGCAGATCATGAAGACTAGAGGCGCGGAATGAAAACACATGAAGCGTGGTTCAAGGCCAGAAATAAATGTCAAAGAACATTAAAGCCGCGGAGGCCCAAATGATGTGGCAGAATTCCCTTGGCAGTGAGACGACCTGGTTCCTGAACCTAGGTATAGGTAATGAAGGTTCTGTGCATGAAAAGCGAAAAACCCTTGAGCGGCGTGAGCACGAGCCTCGAACAAGTAAGACTGAGAAAACCAAGTGAAGTCAGCAAGAGTAACTACCCAGGCTCATGTCAATTTTGCTGGACAGGTCCATGGTCGACGGAAGGAGGTAACAGTAAACGAAGGTCAGAAGTTGTAACAACCCGGTTGGATAGGCACGACTAGGCGTTGCTCGCTGCGTTGTGATTCGCTCACATTAACCAATGATAAGTAAAAATGTTTAGACTATTCGCGTAAATTTGCCCATATCCCTTCAATTAAGCCTCACAACTTGTTGCAACTGTCTATATAAACAAGTAAGTCGGCAAAGTTATGATGTGTTCATCATTCGATACTTCCAACCCAAATCTTCGGTTGTCACAGTTAACTGGTGCCACAAATATACCCTATGTTCATGACACCCACGACGTACGAGTAAACTCCTGTCTGCCAACGTGGACGGCTTGTACGAGACAGCCAGCAGCCATATTCCTTAAAGAACTTGACTCAACTCGCAGCCACGACACTATTTTGTTTATCACACTTTACACTCACGTTGTGTGTAATATAAAGAGCATTTCGTCAGACCCTCATGACTTCCTTTCCTAACCCCGTGTCAAAATGATTCTCGGCAAATAAATGCCTAACCATCCAGGAATAAGAAATAAAAAGAAGAAATTTCCATTACCCCTTCGGCGATATTATGGACTAGAACTCAGACCACACATAATCTGCGGAGGGCCCCAGAGGTAGAGGGTGCTCCCCTAATCTTCTGGCGACAGAGGAATCTAATCAGTTACCTCGAAGATGGATGGTCTTTTTCGATCTTTGTGTGGACTTCATCACTGTAAGATGTCGATTAATATTATCTATGCTTCATATATAAGACATTGCCGAAAACATCATGAGATGAATTAGATCTTACGTTACTAATTGAAATTTTCAAGCTATTATTCATAATGGCTTTATCGCATCGACCATCGCATTAGACAAAACGCTGCTTAAAACGACGAAGCATGTACAGTACCATAAATCGTCAAGTCGGCCTGAAACGAAATCATGTAGCGTGGGTGAGCCGAACGTGTAAGAATTATGTAAATTTTGTATTTTAACACGTAAGACAGCTTTTCGAGGGAATAAGGCCTTCATCCTTGAGCCTCTATTTGAATCCAAACGTGACAAAGAAAATTATGTTTGCACCAGTAATTCTGGAAGTTTATAAGTTGTCGCCAGGTGTAAGCCAGGCGCAAGTTGCCGCCACTGTGATAATCGTTATAATGTACATTTTCGCGTCAGGGAGTCTGTTCCATGATCCGATTGTCCCCTGCGAAAAGACATTCCGTCGAACGTTTGTATGGGCCAACTACCCCTGTAATTGAAAAGGATGATCACGCATCCGATTCGCCCCAGCCAAATCGCAGTAGTTGTCAAAGTCTAAGGCGCATTCATGGCCTCTGACAATCCAATAGTTTTGAATGAGGTTTCCGCGAAGTTGCCTGCAGTTGGGAAGAGACCGGTTAAATGCAGCCAGTCTGGTTTCGTAAGGCAGATAACCAAGATTCTTAACCATCTTCGCAGCCCTCGTCCATACTATTTCCAGCTCTTGCTAATCGCCCTTGAGCCACAGACGCGAAGTCTGGACGGCCTACTCTGAGTCAGACCGAACGAACGCGGTGTAGGTTATTCCGAACAGTCCCAGGTCAAGCCGCTGGTTTTAAATTTGAAGATAAGTGGAATATATTATTTAAAGTGGTTTTTTCTGAGAGATCTGACGATTTTAGCCCTTTTTTTCCAAGGCCTATTCACTCAGAACTACCCGTTGTCATCTTTTGTTGAGTTCTGCTAGTCTATGCCTGTTGCTTACCAGTCGCACTCTCCAATTCGGATTTTGTGCATTCGGTTTCTCTCTTACTATGTAAGTTATTTTTACATCGTTAGCCTCTTGCTGAAATTCAGTCACCAGGTCTGTCCGAAGTTTTCTTTATTACAACTTGCCTCGAGACAAGATGAGAGTAAAAGTCACAGGTCGGTGAAAGCTCTCGGCCTATGTGCGTAAGAATGGTTTGACTAAATCTAAGTCAGAAGGCTTAAATAAGCTAATTCAGAAAGTTTACATAAATTTTATCCATAAGAAATTACTAGTCAGTCGTCACCCGTTGAAACCGGTAGGCAACTTAATCTGTCTGAACTTGAAAAATGCAATGATTTTATGCTAAAGTTTGGCACTTTGCTGTCAACTCTTGAAAAATTATTTGACGGGAACATCTCCGATATTCCCTCTGAAGAATGTAGGCGTCTCGACTCACTTGTTCACCTGATCGCCAGTGAATCTAGTGATAGACAGAAGCGTTCTTACAACTTCCTGCTAAAAAATGTTCCTCGATCTGCTCGGCCAATTGATGTTGCGACCAATTTCCTGTATTCATGTGGTTTCAACTACAAAATAGCCGATGCCAAACGCTTGTCCTCCCGTAGCAAAAATCCACCCATCTTAATCAAACTATTTTCATCAATCGAGATTGGCACGCTCTTTGACCATCGAGATCGTGTCACTGCGTGCCTGGAAAATGCAAAATTTTCCTTTGTCTTGATCTTACTCCTATGGAGCGTAGAATCGGGTCTGTCATCTCACGTTAACGCCCTGCTTCTCAGTCTAATGCTCACCAACTCGGTCATAATACAAGTGGCCGTAAGGATTCAGCTTCTCCTACTCCTGCGACATCTGACTCCCTACTTCCTCTTTCTCCTACATCTCCATCTCACTCAAGCCACTTGACGCATTTGCCTGCCCCTAAACGTGCAGCAGCAGCAGCAGCAGCCCCATTTGTCGTTTCGTATCCTCCGGATAGCCCCGCTGGGACACATGAAAATCCGTCTACATCAGCTAGACCGATAACTTCTGTTGTCCAACTGGGTGCTGCAAGCTCTACAGTTAAGTCACCCATTGCTTGGCGTGAGAACGATGAGACTCCAAAACTGAATCAGACTCCGACCCAAAAGAAAGGTAGTGCAGTTCCATTTCGTGGTATGCCGCCTTCTCTTAGATCTATCAAGTCTTTTCAGCCCAGCACGTCAACAAATGCCGCAACTCCAATTATATCCCCAAATGATTCTCTGTCCTGCGTACCGGTTACTTATCAAAGCCCTACTATATCCAGCAAATAATTCATACATGAATTGCCTAAGTCATTTATGCTCCAAGCTAATTCAGGTTTCCCACCACTTAAAGCCAATTGCTCTCAGGTAAGTCAACCTAACTCTTTGACTTCCAACCTAGATCTGGTTTCCCACCCTTTTATTCTTATAGCTGTCTACGATTCCCACCAGCCTCTCCGTTCCTTCTAAGCTCCCTCCTCCCCCTCCTCCACTTAAAACAAACTCAATTCGCGCTCTATTTGCTAAACAGACGCCTAAAACAAATGAAGTGAAAGTGCAGTCGAAATGGAAGATTTTATTTTAGGTTTTTTTCTGAGTTCAAATGAGACTCACAGTGCCCAAGGGGCGCTGTAATAAACCTATTCTATTCTAATACCACATGCAGGCCAGTCCTGTCTGACCCGCATACGTGCCCCGCAAGGCTGACATTTATTTCTGCCCTGACTATGTCCGATTATAATCCGTTGTATACCGCCACATGCAGGTTAGTTCTGCCAGCACATTTTTTTATTATGAGCAAGGGTTTTTTCTCCTGTAAAATTAATCCGATCATCCTTAAATTTTTAAGTCGAGTTTTTTTCACCGCTCGCTCATCATTTTTCCTAACGGACTATAAATGCAGTACCTATGAATGGCATTTTCTGCAGATTCTTCCTACCTCGTCTAAAATTTGTGTATAGATTTATTTTTCCTTGCATTGACTGGACCCTGACGGATCTTTACTAAAATTTTTATTTATTTATTTATTTATCCTTCAGCACATATGAGAGAGAGAGAGAGGAAATGCGCTTTATTTTGAAATCGTAAGTTCAAAATTTTCAGCAAAAAATTGGCTCCATTCACTGTGGGTAGTAAATAAGTTAAGAGACTATCCAACAGTCAAAGAAACGATTATTATGGGGATAGTTCAAGTCTGAGCTTCTGTATTTCTGTCTCTTCGCACGTGAGATAGCGCGCTAGGAATGGCAATACAGAGGCTCGATAAGCCGATGTGCGACAGGGTATAAGACGGAAGTTGCGGCGCATCGGGCGGGAAGACTTGGCAGCCATAAGATCGGAATGTAGGGATGGTCAACGTCATCTAGAATTCGACCAGCAAATTGCTTGACCGCATTGAAGTGTCGTTGTAAGATTGTGTCAACTAAAAAAATATGAGAAACGCCAGCAGCAGAAGAGAGCATGCGGAGGACTCGTTTCAAAATTAAAAGATCCTTTTTTAACAGAGCAGGAAAAACGACAGGAGAACAGTATAGGATAAGAGGAAGAATGCAGGCATCAATGAATCGCCAGACTAAGGGTTGAGGTGTGTAGTAGGAACGCAAACGACGAATGTAGTAAAGGAGTTTACGAACTTTAATAAATATGGACTCAATATGGAGGGAAAAAGAAAGATTTGAGGACAAAGTAACGCCGAGATACCTGAAAGAGGATACCTCATTAAGAAGAATGTCAGAGGAATCAGGGTTAGGAGAGGGCCGCAGTCGAAATATACACTGAACGGATTTTTGGTTGTTAATTAGGAGACCATTTTCCTCCGACCACGCTAGGACATGGCTTAGGCCATCCTTTAGAGACCGGAGGTGTGTCTGACTTTTGAGAGGGTGTCCAACAACCACATCGTCAGCATACTTGATCAGAAGACAGTCATTAGGGGACCTGAGATCATCAGTGTGGAGGGAGAAAAGGTGAGGGGATAGAATGGAACCTTGAAGAACACCGCAGTCATTGGGAAGGGTCGAAGATTTTCGCTTGCCAGATTGGACAAATTGGGTGCGGAAGCTAAAATAATCGCTCAGCCAAGAGACGACCCAGCCTGGAGAGCCACATGCGGAGGTTTTGGAAAGGAGAAGAGGACGCGGGACGGTATTGAAGGCGGAGGAGTAATCCAGAAAAGCGCACGCATACTCGCGGCAACCCTTGTCTAATGCTTTTAGAGCAGAGTGGACCACTAGAGCGACA